GAAGATATAGTGTGTTCTGAATGGTGAAAGGAAACATGGGAATGAATGGGAAAAGGAACATCCTCCGAGATGACCTTCCCAAACACACGTGAGACTTCATCTCCTATGACCTTAGTTCCCTTGCCCCTTAACCTGCAACACCACCGACTCTTGTCATCACCCAGAAATGCTGGAACTCTCAAAACACAAATTCAGACTTCAACTATGATATTAGCCATCTATCCCACCAACCCTTGTTGTCTGTTACCCCACCAGACTAGTATTACTCCAAATGTGGTCCACAGCCACAGCCCAGCACTCGTCTGAGAACTGTTACAGAGACAAAGACAAAAACTGAGCAAGCATTCAGAAACTCAGATAGCAGTTTGACCTTGCCTCACATCCAAGTGCATGGTCAGCAAACTCATGTCAACCAGATGGAGTGTTAAAGCATCAGAGAGGGGGTTGGGAGAGAGAGAGAGACGTGGTATGTAGGAGAGCTGCCTCCTGGGGATGCACACCAGGACCACAACCAGGTGGATGTAACTTGAGAGGCTGCTTTAGAGGCTCGTCAGCCTCTCCTCTCTTCAGCCTTAAGGGAGGCATTTCTTGCTCCTCCCATAACCCAGTGCTGGGGAAGAAACCCTTCCCTATGAGAAACACTTCAAAGTTCAGGGATTCACCCCTCCCCTCTCCTTTCACTCCCTTCCTCACCCAACCTAGAGAGACCCCCCATGCACATTCTCACTACTCAGTGCATCTGCCCAGCCTCAACCTGGGAGTGATCCTCTTCTGACTCAGGCTGCCTATCAGAGCTGACTTCATGTGGAGAGCCCACCTCCTTCTGAGATCATAGAAACAAAATTCCCCTCAAAGAAGATCTAGCCCCTGACCATGCCTTTCCCTCTTATAACACAACATAAACAAACATACAGTTTTCTTTTTTTGGCCAAATATTTACTGAGAGCCAATTATCTGCAGTGATGTCAACCACTGACACCTGTGGTCCCTGTCTACAAGGTGCTTACAGACCAAAAGGAGACACCACCCAGGTATAAGGAAGTTGAAAGTTACATAAAGGAGAGATACAGGAGGCTGTGAGAGAGTGTGACTCTCATGGAGGAGGCACATACATGTTGGAGGGGGACAACAGCCAGGCAACAGTGTGTGGGGAGGGAGGGACGTGAGGAGCTCAGTAGGGAGAGGACATGGTTTTGTTACATCTCTCTCTCCAAAATGGAAAAGGGAAAAAGTCAGCTTCTGTTATTTTAACACTTTTCTTAAACTGGGTCATTATTAGCAGAAAAGAAAATAGCACAACTAGAGTTGTGCCTCCTATCGCCAAATCAGATCCCCCTTGCACTTCCCCTGTGCCTCTGCAGCTATTATTCTAGAAACTAGACCCCCAAAAGAAACACCACTCCCTCAATATGGGAACCTCAATATGGGTCAGATGTCACCAGGCGTGTTGCTAAATTATACACTCAGTCTCTGAGAGGAACCTCAGTAAAACACAGGCTTCACTAAGAAAAAAAGTAGGTGGGTCCCCATTCTTTGGACAAATGCCTTGAAACTTTGAGTCTTTAAGTTTCTGTCACAAAACAATCTCTCCTGCTTTTTGGCTGTATATTCCAAGGTATAATGTCTGTCCTTTTGTGATTATATCCTCAGCATGTGTCATAGGGTCTAGCACACAGGAGGGGTACAGCAAATACACGCATACATGGGTAGATTCCTATTATCCCACAGGCATGTCCTCACCTTGGTCTCACTAAAAGAAGGACTACCTCTCCAAATGCAGCAGCCCAAATCTATAGGTCAGCTATGAAAAATGCACAATGATTTTCAGTATCACTTGAAGTAGGTGACACCATCAAGCAAACACAGATCCATTTAGTTCCACAGCCCACTTTGGAACATGAAGACACCAGATGGGTCTTGGACAGTGCCAAAACATGAATCCTTTTTTCAGTTGTGATGGGCAAACAATTACTAATTTCTTTGATTTGTCATGGTAACCTTCTCAATAAAAGTCACTAAAATTTAGCAGTTGAAAACTAAAACTGGCATGTTGCTTCACCCTACTTTAGTATTCTGCTAGGAAACCTGGCTGCCCTGGAACCCCTGGCAACCTGGCAAACCTGCTGCATGTGCCCACATGCCAACAACTGGAATTCTCACTATTTGAAGGAAGGCAGCTTTTGTTAGCAGTGAATTATCAGCCTATGTGGAGTTGATTGTGCTGCTATTCTTGCTTTTTTCTTTTTTTTAAATGTGTTTTGTTTAGTTCAATCATTATCAACTTAGTTTGTTTTGGGTTGAGGAGGTTAACTTTACAAAGTGTAGAATTTCAGGGGCGCCTGTGGCTCAGTGAGCAGGCTGGCCCCATATACCAAGGGTGGTGGGTTCAAACACGGCCCCGGCCATACTACAACAACAAAAAGTAAATAAATAAAAGTCTTAAAAAAAATAATCAAAGTGTAGAATTTCATCTTTGCATTAACATTATCTTTAGCCCATAATTTTCCAGTGACTGAGTCTTTAAGACAAGCACTACAGGTGAAGTATTTCTACTGCAGAAGCAGACATATATACAACCCACTCAAAATGTGTGCAGTATCATTTTATTTGGGACATGCTATTTGTGAAATGATGCTATTTAAATTATTTGCAACAAAATCTCAACACATGTAAAATATTCTTTAATACTTACAGGATATTGTTTCACAATACAAATTCTTGTGTACAAATTCTATAATATTTGCATTTTATTTATCCACAAATCATTATTAAGGTTTGTTTTCTAGTGAAAATGGGGAGGGTAGATGGGCACAGACTCTGTTAGACATTTGATTTTTTTGTTTTTTTTTTTTTTGAGAGGGAGTCTCACTCTGTAGCCCCAGGTGGAGTCCTCTGGTGTCATAATTTACAACAACCTCAAACTCCTGAGCTCAAGTGATCCTCTTGCCTCAACCTCCCAAGTAGCTGGAACTATAGGCATCTGCCACAACACCCTGCTATTTTTAGTAGAGATAGGGTCTCCTGCTTGCTCAGGCAAGAGTTTGGTCTGAAATTCCTCAGTTTAAGCAATCCTGCCTTGGTCTCCCAGAGTGAGTGAGCCACTGCACCTGGCTGGGCTCAGAGTCTGCACATGCCAGTATCCTGGAATCCCAAACTTCCCCATTCAAACCAAATATCTGTGCCAATACCTGTGTTATTTTCAAGAACAAATGCTTCCCAAGTGTTCTCCACACACTTGCAAAATGACATCAGGCCAACGAGGTCTTCCCAGAACAAAGGAAAAGTTCCCCAAAAGTGTACTCTGCCTACAATCCTGCCACACAAATGGCCCAAGTATTTTTTTTTTTTTTTTGAGACAGTCTCACTCTGTCACCTCTTGCCTCAGGCTCCCAAGTAGCTGGAACTACAGATGCCTGCCACAATAGCCAGCTAGTTTTTCTATTTTTAGTAGAGAGGGATCTCATTGTTGCCCAGGCTGGTCTCCAACTCCTGAGCCCAGGCAATCCACCCGCCTCAGCCTCCCACAGTGCTGAGATTATAGGCATGTGCCACCGCATTTCCACCTTCTTTCTCATCCCAGATTCGAAGATCCTGGCACCAAGATGAGCTGATATCTAAGACATCAACCACTCAGTCTGGTCCCACTCCCACTCCCGCACAGAACCTTGTCCAGAGAAAGCTCTTTCCTGCCTCAGACCAAGGAATGGGAGTGTGTGTGGCCCTTATGGGGTCACAGGTCTTCCCATAATCCTTTTTCATGCTACTCTAGGAGTCAAAGCCTCTCCTGTGATTTTTTTGGAGACTTTTAGAAGAGCTCTGGGCCTAAATCAGTTCAGCTAAGCTACAGGCACCCAATTTCCCCAAGAAAGTGAATTTGAGCCTGGAGTATCCAGAGAATGAAGCCCATTCCCACAACAGACTCTGGAACAATGTCCCCACCCCAGAGGGAGGGTTTGGACTTCCACACCTAAGTCACTAAAGCTGGCACCAGGTATCATACCATTCCAACCATTCCATTCCAGGCCAGGAGTCACAAATTAACCAGCTAAGCCTGGCCAACTCCACCCCCACCCCGAAGGACCTCCCAAGGACATGCCTTACCTACTGGCCATGTTCTGGTCTGGCAACTGTGACCAATTACCAGTGGTAGCAAGAGGTGGAGCAGTGGAAGATGAGTCTGGGAAAGGCAGCAAAGACAAGATCCATGCAGCTTGGCTTTGCCAAGAATCTTGATTGTCATCAGTTGTCAAGAGTGAGTGGGAAGACTTGCTGCCCCAGTGCCCAGGGTAGGCATGGGCTTGCTGCAAAATGAATGACATTTGGCGGACAATAAGCTGAAGCCTCCATTAGCAGCTTAAGCTGATAGCTTATCTATGCAACAGTCCCACTCCCTGCATGTTCCCTAGTTCCTTTTTGTGTGTGGCCTTGTGGAAAGACCAGCACTGAGAAAGCAAGGACCAAGTCAGAAGTTCAAGTCATAGCCTTGCCATAACCTCAGGGTACCTTTAAACACTGCAGGACTCAGTTTTTCCATCTGCAAAGTGAGAGGGGTGCACGAGATAACCTTGAAGGCTCTTGGTTGGCCTGTGTTCCTTCTAGCATATGCATTCTCAGAGCCATGAAGATCTTTGTGCTACACCTGTGAATTGCTTTCTAGGAAGGCCATGCAACTTTCTGTGTCCTGTAGCACACACACCAGGAGTGATGTGGGCCATGTATGTGCTGGGGGGAGGGGAATCCCAGAACAATGTCCTCCCCCTATCCCTCCTCAATAGACGGAAGCCACTGGCTTCCTCCCTTTCCTGACTCCTCCCGCTTCCTATGTGCCAGCGAGACTGAGGATTAAAGGGAAACAAGATAGAAAAAAATCAGTCCAGCAGTCCCTAGGTTTGTCCTTATTATAACCCTCCCCATTGCATGTGACCCCATTCCAGGGCCCTCTGGGCCACACCCATCTCCACCTTGCAGGGGGCCAGATTGGGGGGCCTAGAGGCTCAGGAGCAGGATAAGTCCTCCCATCCCTGTCCTCTGCCACCCTCCCACCCAAGCCACCTCATTTCCTCTTCCTCCCCAGCACCAACACACACAGGTTGAGCACTCAGACCCACAGCAACTGACCCAAGGCCAGGCTCATCCTGGTTGGCCTGGGGCAGCCTCTGGATTATGGTCTGGCAGGGGCCCCCTTTCCTGCTCCTCATCCTCTTCCTTGCTTCTCAAGTAGGTAAGTCCGCACCCCGTTTCTAGGCCTCAAGTCTCTAATTTGCCCCTAAGAAATTCTATCCTATCCTAAAAAGAGAAAAGAGCATGGTGGTTGCCATAGGCTGGAGGGAGAGAGGAAAGGGTTATGTTTAACGGGTACAGAGTCTCGGTTTTACAAGATTTGCCAAGAGATGGAGATGAATGGTGCTGATGGTGCACAACGTTATGAATGTATTTAATAACACTGAACTGTGTGCTGGTAAATTTTATATGTATTTTACCACAATAATAAAAAGCTGAAGAAAAAAAGAAAAGAACCCCCATCATCACTTTGATCTACTAGAAAGTGAGGTCAGGCAGATGTTAGAAATCCCTGCAGTGGGCATGGGGGAGGGGGTGCTGACTGTGGTGGATCTTAGGACCACAGGAAGCATCAGGGCCCATGAGCACTGTGAAGTTTTCAGTGGGTGCTCATAGGGTCCATGTGTTGGGTTTATTCAATTATTCATTGGACAAACATTTATTGAGCACCAAAAATATTCCAGAAGTTGTACTAAGTGCTGAGAGGCTAGCAACCTCCAGAGCTCTACAATGACATTAAGTGACTCTCACCTCCTATAGTTATCATGGGGTTTAAATGAGACGATGCAGGCAGAGCACTTAGCATTGTGCCTGGCACTAGATAAGGGTGTCTGAGTAAGAGAAAGCTGATGCCTTCAGTCCACACTGGTTGGGAGATTAGAACACAGAGGCTGCGTTAGGGTAGCTCAGGGTCTAGTACAAAAAGCAAGATATGGAAAGAGGGCTAAACACACAGAGACAGAAGGAGCTCTAGCAGAACACTGAGGAGTGGGAGCCAGCCTCAGGTAACAGATGAAAAGGGAGCTAGGAAAGATTTCACTAAGAGCATCATCTTCTTTCTTCATTCGAGGAGGCCAGAACAATAAATGCAATTATCACGGGCCTGAAAGTGTACAGGAAAGAAGGTGCCCATGGGAATGCTGCAGGAGGGGTAGGCAGGAGAAACCAGGGACTTGGGAACATGCACATTATCTTCAGGGCATTATCCTAATGGGGAGTCATGAAAGGCTATAGGAAAGAAAGTCACGAGGTCAGACTTGTGAGTCTTAGATGGATCTCTTTGAAGGATGAATCGGCAAAGGAGAGGCTGTGGCTAGATTGGTCCAGGTGAGTAGGGATGAGGGCTGAACCAAGACAGGCTTGGGAAATGGTCATAAAGTATAGACGCTTTTAGGAAACAGCATGTGGAATTCTGTGACTGATTAGAGTGGCCACCATAATGCTCAGAGGCGTGGACTTTAGGATCAGACAACCTGGCTCTGCCACTATTAATTGTATGACCTTGAGCAAGCTATAAAATAGGGATAATTACACCCACCTCCCTAGATAGGATGGTAAAATGAGAGAACATCAATAAAGTGCTGGGCTCATAATTGACATCCAAAAAAAGTCATTATGACAGCAGGAGTATGAGATGACTCCATAGCTGGTATCTCAGGTGGCGGGTGCTGTCTGCTGAGTTAGGAAGCACAGGAGAGGAACAGGTTTGGGAAAGCTGATGGAAATACAGGTCAGGGCTGAAAGGCTGTCCCCAAGTCATTGACACAGAGGTGATGGTTAAAGCCAAGGGAGTGGATGAGCTTGCCCAAGGAAGCCTGTAGAACAATTGTCATGACCCTCCTCCCTCAATGGAAAGAACATCAGCTTCACTGGAGGGTGAGGATCCAAGGAAGAGGGGTGAAGATGGGGTCAGAAAGTACTGGCTTCATTTACTCTTGGTAGCCTTTTAAAGAATGTTAACTGATAAGCTAAGTGGCACTTAATTACCTGACAGTTAGCCAACAGGGACAGTGGTGGGGGTGGGGGTGGGGGGAGTTCAGGAGCTTAGGCAAGCCTTCGGGGCTGTCCACAGTCTGGGCTGGCCTGGACTCTGATTCTACCTGCATCCTCTCACTCTCGGCCTCATATCTGGTGTTCCGACCAACCAAATGTGGGCAGCTGCCTCCCCATACCATGGTATTTTCACTCCAGGCCGTTAGCAAGTTATTCTCTCTGTCTAAAACACCTTTTCCCTACTCCTGCCCTCTCTCCCTCCCCATTGTCCATGTCCCATTGTGCCCTGCTCTAGTTTATCTCCCAGGAAGCATCTCTTCATCTACCTCCCTCCCCCATGAGGGGTTAGGGGCCCCTTCTCTGTGATCCAACACACAGCACCCTCTCTTTGGCACATATGTCTATGCCTGTCCCCTCAACTAGGCAGTGAAGTCTTTGGAAGGCAAAGACCAAGACCTACTTGAAGTGCCTTCCCTGACCCTGGGCCTGGCCCCAAGCAAGTTGTGTGTCTGTTCTACCACCTGTCGGTTTCAGGGCCAGGCCTCTCCTACCTCAAATCCCAGCCCACCACACATTTCTACATCTTGGTGGTGGGTGGTGACACTTTGTTCTCTAAGGCTCTCCTAGCCTGCACCCTCCTGGGGGGAGCTGGAGAGAAGTGGCTCAGGGCAACCTTTGCAGGGGAGTTTGAGAGACACAGGACTGATAGGAACAGAGTGAGGAAATGGAGACAGGGAGCGTGGATCATTCCTTCCGAAAGCTGGGCTGAAAGGGAAGCCATCTGGCGGGAGGAGGAAAGGGATGCCCAGCCAGAGAAGGATTTGTGGTTTTGTTTTTGTTCTTTTGGGATGAAGAGACTTGAGAGAAAGGGGCCAGTGCACATGGAAGGGGGTTGGGGGTGGAAATGCCTGATATAGTGCCGGGCCTGTGGGGTCTAAACACCGGACAGAGGAGGAAGAGTGAAGGTGGGGACTCTCCTCAGAGCAGCAAGATCAGAGAACTAGGGGGTAGGGTGGTTCTTTGCCTGTGCCTGCTCACGATGAAGTCATTGGTGCCCTGGCCCCAGGGGCGGCTGTGGACCTGACGCTGCTGGCCAACCTGTGCTTCACGGACCCCCAGCGCTTCTTCCTGACCTGCGTGTTCGGGGAGGCCGGGGCGCGGAGGGGCGCCGATGCCTGGGGCCCGCCGTTGCTGCTGGAGAAGGACGACCGCATAGTACGTACCCTGCCGCCGGGGCAGCCCCTGCGCCTGGCGCGCAACGGCTCGCACCAGGTTACGCTGCGCGGCTTCTCCAAGCCCTCGGACCTGGTAGGCGTCTTCTCCTGTGTGGGCGGTGCCGGGGCTCAACGCGCGCGAGTCATCTACGTGCACAACAGCCCCGGAGGTGAGTACGGCCGGCCAGGTCGGGGTAGGGGGAACGGCCTGGCAGGCGACTGTGCCCCCAGCCGCTGACTCCACCCTCTCCACCCCGCAGCCCACCTGCTCCCAGACAGGGTCACTCACACTGTAAACAAAGGCGACACAGCTGTGCTTTCCGCACGTGTGCACAAGGAGAAGCAGACAGATGTGATCTGGAAGAGCAACGGTGAGAAGGGCATTTGGACCAGCCCATAGGCAGACCCAGAGTTCTGACCCTGAAGCTCCTTTGCCCTCAGCACACTCAGCTTTGGCCCCTTACACACCCGTCACCCTGGTACATCTTTTACCCTCCTGGTCAATTTCTAAGGCCCCTCCTCTGTCCTGGACCAGGTCCCATGGGACACATCTGAATCCATCTCATCTCTAGCTCTGAGCTGCCCTCCTACCTTATTCAGGGGACTCAGTTACCTCTTTCATCTAACTCCCAGAGGAGCACTATATTGAACCTTCATCTTTGTCCTCTGGGAGTTAGCAGGTGGTGGTGTCACATGCCCCCACTGGCAGAAAGCAGCATCCTCTGAGAAGGCAGAGAACTGATAACAAAGTGCCCACACAGGCAGGGAGTCTAGCCTCTCCCAAAGCCCTGTCCAGCCTAGATCCTCAATGCAGACACATGATTAGGCTGGGCAGACCTGTAGGATCTCAGCCCCAGGCCTGCCCTCAGTTCTGGCCCCATCAGACCCTTTGTTTGGCTACCCTATTCCAGGAGTTATTTTCCTGTGTGTCCCCAAAGATTCCTGCAGGAAGAAGACACTTCCCTTGGGCCAGGGAGTTCTAAGCTCCAGCGCCCAGAGAGACACAGACAGACTTGGGTCTCTAGAGTCCATTTGGTCCTAAGCATAGAGGCAAGAAGGGGTGGGGGGGCAGGGACTGGGACACCCATCTGATAAGGGGTCTGCAGATCCTGGAGGGAGAGGCTTAGGGGAGAGACCCCAGAGTAGATGGTACCTGCACCATGCTCAGGAAAGTGGGACCACAAAGAAACCAGGCACAGACAGAAGGAAGGCATTCTAGGAGGGGGGCTGGTAGGAGCAAAGGCAAGATTGTAAGGTTTTGGATAAATGTGGGGCTGAGGGCTCAGAGGAGTAGAATTGGTGAGAATGAGGTGCTAAGTTAGATTTGTCCTAAGGGCTGGGGAGAACTGGGAGCTGAAACAGGAAGTTAGAGAGGATCTGTTGTGCAGAGAGCCTACTTACCAAGGTGGCTAGGACTGGGAAGTGGCAGTGGGCTAGAGGAACCAGGGACTGGCTTAGGAGCTGAAGAGGAGGTAGACTGAACAGGATTTGTGGTTTACTGGGTAGTTAGTTAAACATAAAGACGAGGGTGCTTTTGAGCTCTTGGGCTGGTGCTAGGCTCTCATGGTGCCTCTCAGGTCTGATCACTGTGCATGATGTGATCCCATGTGGGCAGAGATAGAGGGAAACGACACCGGCCCTCACATTATGCTGAGGGCCCTGTCCCTTTCATCTACCCTAGGATCCTACTTCTACACTCTGGACTGGCATGAGGCCCAGGATGGACGGTTCCTACTGCAGCTCCCAAATGTGCAGCCATCATCGAGTGGTATTTATAGTGCCACCTACCTGGAAGCCAGCCCCCTGGGCAGTGCATTCTTTCGGCTCATCGTCCGGGGTCAGAAACAGAGGACAGAGGTTGTGGGTGGTGTGGGAAACTGGGACCCCTATAGGTACTTTCTGTGGGTTCCCTGGATCTCTTAGGTCCCCAGAGCTCCCCAGTCCTCAGTGGCAATGGCCAGGTGGGTAAAGGTCAGTTTCTGAAAACACTTTCCTCTAGGTTGTGGGGCTGGGCGCTGGGGACCAGGCTGTGCTAAGGAATGCCCAGGCTGCCTGCATGGAGGTGTCTGCCATGACCACGATGGGGAGTGTGTGTGTCCTCCCGGATTCACTGGTACCCACTGTGAGCAGGGTAAGGAGAAGGAAAGCTAGAACCTCGGCAGGAGAGGATGGCTAGCTGGGGGAGGAACCTAGAACCATGGGAATGAAGCTTGGAGAATGAGGGTGCCAGGCAGATCCTGGACCCTAAGGCCCAACAAAGGCCTGTACTCCCACTCGCCCTCTTTCTAGCCTGCAGAGAGGGCCGTTTTGGGCAGAGCTGTCAGGACCAGTGCCCAGGTACATCAGGCTGCCGTGGCCTCACATTCTGCCTCCCTGACCCCTATGGCTGTTCCTGTGGGTCTGGCTGGAGAGGAAGCCAATGCCAGGAAGGTATGGACTAGCACCTTCTCCCTGGCCCTGATCAGGAGAGCTGGCCACAAGCTTGACCCAGGCCCTTCACTCTGACCCTGACTTACAGGCTTAGGTGGGCTCACCTAACCAGTGGTGAGCCTAACCAGTGGCCCCCACCTGGGCCCTCCTTGCCCTTGCCCTTGCTCTTGCCCTAGGCCCCCCTAATCATACCTCCTTTGTTCCCAGCCTGTGCCCCTGGTCATTTTGGAGCTGATTGCCGCCTCCAGTGCCAGTGTCAGAATGGCGGCACTTGTGACCGGTTCAGCGGCTGTGTCTGCCCTTCTGGGTGGCATGGAGTACACTGTGAGAAGTCAGGTATGAGCATCAAGGTCTCTGAGACCCCTCAAGATGAATCAGCCTTCCTCAAACACATCCCCCTGGCTTGGAAGAGACTCATCCCTCCTCTCCCTGTAATGTTCAAGTCCTGCCCTCAGGAAGTCATATTCTGGTGGAGTTCTCACCACTCAGCCATCCTGACCTAAGGAGCAATAGCCCAGAGAACACGGGAGCCCAGAGGACACCCGACTGGTCTGGGAGGGTCAGGGAGGGTTCTGGAAGGAGGTGCAATCTGTGTTTGGAGATTGGAGATGGAGGACAGGAGAGAGATGGTCGGAGAAAGAACATGGGCTAAGGACTCAGGCTTTGCACTTAATAGGATAGGGGCAAGAGGGAATTGTTGAAGAGACACAGGGTAGTGAATGAGATTTGAGTTTGAGACAGGGCGCCTAGCTACTGGCTGGAGAGTGGAAGCAGGAGACACTGTTGGAGTCTATAGCTGGGAACCAGAAACGATGAGGCCTGAGCTAGTGTGCTGGTGTGAGGGTGCCAAGGGACCTGCCGGTAGGTTTTAGGGAGCATTAGGAACTGGGAGGGGGAAGGAGGCAGACTCCACACTGATGGGGCTTTGGGCTAAGGGTGCTGGAGGACTTTGATAGCTTTCAGGCTGGAGCAACAAAGTAAATAGTGGTGTCCCCACTGGGAAGAACACAGGATTAAGGTCACTTTGGTGGTCACATGTCTGCCCTGTGGGAGCTCCAGAATGAGTGTCCTCTCTGTCTTTCTCTAGACCGGATCCCCCAGATCCTCAACATGGCCTCAGAACTGGATTTCAACTTAGAAACTATGCCCCGTATCAACTGTGCAGCTGCTGGGAACCCCTTCCCAGTACGGGGCAGCATGGAGTTGCGCAAGCCAGATGGCACCGTGCTCCTGGTCAGCCCCGATCACACCTAACCCACCAGCCTCCCATCCTGCCAGCTTCACAGTTGATCCCTAACCCCTCAGAACTTTCTGCAGGCTCCTCCTATTGGCCTGACCATGCTCAAATGAGGTCAGACTGGTTGGTGAGACAGATGTATGTGTACCTGCTACAGGGGAGTTCACTCTCTGTGATCTGTCCCTATCTCCCCTCTCAGTCCACCAAGGCCATCGTGGAGCCAGATAGGACCACCGCTGAGTTTGAGGTGCCCCGGTTGGCTCTTGGGGACAGTGGATTCTGGGAGTGCCGTGTGTCCACATCTGGTGGCCAAGATAGCCGGCGTTTCAAGGTCAATGTCAAAGGTCAGTGACATCCTAGGTCCATGGAGAAGGCACAAAGAGCCGAGTCAGCACTCTGATGCTGCTCAGACTAGGGATCCTTGTGGGAAGGCAAGGACATCAAAGGTCATGGCCTAGCACCACACAAAGAGGGCTGTGGTCAACTAGAGGTCAGACCAGCCAATGTCAAGGCTGGAGCACAGCCTAGTCCCATCTGGAAAGGACATCCCCTGCCACAGAAACTGGACACTTCCCAGCCTCTTCTTCCCTCCTGCCTAGCCATGCTCCCTCTCAACCACCATACACACACAAGTCTAAGTCCCCCAGGGGAGTGCATGGTGCTGTGGATCTCACAGGGTGACTAGCTTTACTCCCCAGGGGCAGTGTTTGCCCAGGAGTCCACCAGGAGAATAGGAGGGACCCATAAGTCCCAGAGCAGAGCATCCCACCCCAGGCTGGGTGCCCCTTCACCCTCTCTAGCACCGTGAGCCTCAGCCACTCACATGACTGACACCCCTCAGCTGCTGTCCCTGCTTCTGACCCCCTCTCCTCTTCCTACATGAGCACCCCTTGCATTCCTCTTTCTCACTGTCCCACTCTGCCTCCCGGAGCCTCATTTTTCCCCCATCCCCACCTGGATCTATCCTTCACCTTCCCTGCTCACTCTCCCCAGGTGTTAGACTCAGATTACCTCATTTGAATCCTCTCTTCACAAGTTCCTTGCTGCATCACCTACAGCAAGTTACTAACCTCTTTTAGTTGGTTTCTCTCCCTTTAAAATGAATATTAGCACTTAGTTGATAAGGTCGCTATGAAGATCAAATTAGAGGATGTATTCATTTAAGCATTTAGCACGGTGCCTGACCAAGGGTGTGTGCTCAGTATATGCTAACAATTATTGTTATTTTAAATGTCATCTAATCCCAAGATTTTGAATATTCTCTGGCAACTCCCATATGAGCTGTAAGCACCAGGGGCTCCTTGGGACCCAAACTGGACCTTTGCCTCCCCCCAGATCAGCATCTTCCCATGGCATGCTCATTGCTGCCTGACAACCTCCTCAGCTCACAATTCTGCATCAGGCTTGCCCACCTTCCTCCCTCCCTTCCTTTCTTCCTTTCTTTCTTCTTAGAAAGTCAGTCTGGGCTGGCACACTGGCTGATATCTGTAATCCCAGAATTTGGGGAGGCTCAGGGAGGAGGATCACTTAAGACAAGCTTGAGCAACATAGCAAGACCCCATTTTTACAAAATAAATTCTAAAAATTAGCGTGGCATGGTGATGCACACCTGTAGTCCCAGCTATTCAGGAGGCTGAAGCAGAAGAATTTCTCAAGCCCAGGAGTTCAAGGCTACAGTAAGCTATGATGATGCCACTGCAGTCCAGCCTGGACAACAGAACAAGACTCTAGTTCTTAAAAAAAGAACCAATTGATTTGAGGTTGCCTGGTCAGAGAGACCTAGTTCAAACTCAGGTTTTATCTTGCCATCACCTTAGACAAGCCAGTCAATGGTATTGAGCCTCAGTGTCTTCATTATGTGGGGTAATGAGCCATATCTGAAGAGTACCGTGTTTCCCTGAAAATAAGACACTGTTATTTTTATTTTTTCTCAAGAAGACACACTAGGGCTTATTTTCAGAGGATGTCTTATTTTTATTAAGTATAATGCAACAATCTACATTTATTCAAATATAGTTAAGTTATCTTCTTCTGGAACCTGACAGGGGGAGCCCACCTGTTGATGGGGCTGGTGCTAGTGATGTGTGAACTCCTTCCCCCTAGCCGTTCACACCTGCGCAATAGAATGCCTGCAACTGCAGTTACCACACGCACACCCCCGCAAGTGCCAACGGCTCAGAGAAAGGAGCTGTGGCAGATAAAAGGTATTCCAGTCTTCCTTACTGCTCAGCGCAGAAATGCATGGCATAGCGTGGCTATGCAGCCCATCACTAGGTCTTATTATCAGGGTAGGGCTTATATTTAACAAATGCATAGAAATCCTGCTAGGGCTTATTTTTTGGGAAGGTCTCTTACCTTTAGGGAAGGTACCGTGTTTCAGGGAAACACAGTAGCTGTGAGAATCAGAGGCTGTGCAATGAGGCATTGGCTAGAGCAGGCGCTTTGTCACTGCACTTTCTTTTTTATTATTAAGAGAGTGTGAATGATGAAGGGAGGGGCAGAGACCAGAGTGACACCCAGGTTGCCCCTCTACCCTGGGTTCCAGCCCCTCTGTCTACCCACATGCTATATGGGCAGAGTATACAGCCCAAGCCCTGTCTCACCTCCAGGAGGCTTCTGCTTCAGCCTCCTGAGTAGCTGGTTCAATACACTCATGTCCTATTGACAAATCCCTGGCCAAAACTCTGTCCTCCCTGGGCCCTGGCTACTCTGGTCATCTGCTGAACTTTGTCTACCTGAAGCCCCAAGGGTTCTCAGCTCCAAACAAACTGCAGAGGTGTCTTTGAAGCCCATTGCAGAGCCCCTCCTTTCCTTGAGGCCTCAACAGGCAATGTGGCCATGCCTCATCCCCACTCTCCCGGCAGTGCCCCCAGTGCCCCTGGCTGCACCTCAGCTCCTGGCCAAGCAGAGCCGCCAGCTTGTGGTCTCCCCGCTGGTCTCGTTCTCTGGGGATGGACCCATCTCCTCTGTCCGTCTGCATTACCGGCCCCAGGACAGCACCATGGCTTGGTCAGCTATTGTGGGTGAGTGGGAGGGAACCAGGATGGCCCAGAAGTGCTGGCTAACAGAGAAGGCATAGGGGAGTGGGAAAGAGGGGTGGATAGTACAAGAAGAAGAGCATGGCTGAAGGGGGCTGAATGATGTACACTGTACACCCTATCCCCAGTGGACCCCAGTGAAAACGTGACATTAATGAACCTGAGGCCAAGAACAGGATACAGTGTCCGTGTGCAGCTGAGCCGCCCAGGGGAAGGGGGAGAGGGGGCCTGGGGGCCTCCCACCCTCATGACCACAGACTGTCCTGGTGAGTGGTCAAGAGTTATCCCTTCCTGTCACCCCAAGGGTTTCTCTCCTGTCCCCCAAAGGGCTCTTGCCTTTCCCCTTGGAGGCTGTCCACTGGGGATCACTGTCCTATACAGCCCTGAGGACCCATTGGACAGTTCTGACCTCTGACCTCTGGCCCCAGAGCCCTCTTTGCAGCCATGGCTGGAGGGCTGGCATGTGGAGGGCCCTGATCAGCTGCGAGTGAGCTGGTCCTTGCCCTCCGTGCCTGGGCCACTGGTGGGCGATGGTTTCCTGCTGCGCCTATGGGACAGGGCACGGGGACAGGAGCGGCGGGAGAATGTCTCATCCACCCAGGCCCGCACTGCCCTCCTGGCTGGACTCATGCCTGGCACCCACTACCAGCTGGATGTGCGGCTCTACCACTGCACTCTCCTGGGGCCCGCCTCACCCCCCGCACATGTGCATCTGCCCCCCAGCGGTATGTCTGGGCTAGGGAAGAGGAGGACATGGGACACAGGCACTCATAAGACCAGGAGAGATTGGGTAGGCACGGACAGGACACAGAACACACCTCAGGTGTCAGGCAGACATGAGCCCAGCAAGGATGTGAGATGCAGGGAGGATATAGGATACCAGGAGGCCATCGGTCACCAGGAGCATGTGGATGGGGACACAGTATGGAGAGATGTGGGGAGGACTTAGGGTACAAGAGGATACAAGGAGAGCAAGGGGGAGCAAAAGCTTGGGGGTGAGGGTGGCCTGGGGATGGAAGAGGAGGATGGAAGAGCAGCATGGCTCCTTTCCTGGGGTCCACAGAGCAGACGTGTCTGCCCCACAGCTACATAGCCTGGTCCTGGTCCTGTCTGAACCCTGCCTTCCTGCCCCCCTCTCCCCAGGGCCTCCAGCCCCCCGACACCTCCAGGCCCAGGCCCTCTCAGATACTGAGATCCAGCTGACGTGGCAGCGCCCAGAGGCTCTGGCTGGGCGTATATCCAAGTACGTTGTAGAGGTGCAGGTGGCTGGGGGCACAGGAGACCCCCTGTGGATGGATGTTGACAGGCCTGAGGAGACAGGCACCATTGTCCGCGGCCTCAATGCCAGCACACGCTACCTCTTTCGCGTGCGTGCCAGTGTTCAGGGTCTCGGTGACTGGAGCAACATGGTGGAAGAGGCCACCCTGGGCAACGGTGAGAGGGCAAGGCCCCCAGGACTCCTGGGCCTGAGGTTGGCCTCAGTGTGCTCTCTCCACACAATCCCTGGTGGAGCCAGGGCATCCTGGACCCCTCCCAACAAGTGATACAGCCCTGGTACTGAGGACTCTGACCCTTCCCTTCTTGTGACCCACTATCTTAGGGCTGAAAAAATTGTGTGACCCCTGTGGCACCCCTGGTCCCTTTCTCCATGTGGCCTAAGTGACCTTCATGAGTCCTATACTCTGATCTTTGACCTCTCTCTCTGTGTGACTCCATGGCGGCCTCTGGGTTCCTCCCTGACCCAGGTATCCCCTAAGCTGCCCCTCTTACTGTGTTCAGGGCTGCAGGGTGAAGGCCCAGTCCAAGAGAGCCGGGCATCAGAGGAGGGCCTGGATCAGCAGCTGATCCTAGCTGTGGTGGGATCCGTGTCTGCCACCTGCCTCACCATCCTGGCTGCACTCCTCACCCTGGCGTGCATCCGCAGAAGTTGCCTGCACCGGAGACGCACCTTCACCTACCAGTCAGGATCGGTCAGTGGCCCATGGCCACCCCAGGTGCATGTGTACAGCCCTTGTGCATGCATATTTCCCCAACGTACGTTTAGTTGTTTACATACCGTGTGTGCGCATGCGCTCACACGTTGCATATCTGTGTTGCAGGTATCAAGCTACACTCATTACTCAAGGGTGCAAAATGTAATTTTCTTTATTTCTTTAGAACTGAACTCAGTTCACGAGCCCATTTATGTTAGGGGTGAAATATTTAATATTCCCAGTTCAGAATAACTCAGTTATGTCTATATTTCACCAGGGCCAGCTAGGCTTAGACTTGGTCAACTTGGGTTTTCCTCTCCTGCTTCCTTCTCCCTAGATGTGATCTAAGCCTACGTGATGCCACAGAGGGGCACCTGCATCTGTACTGGCCTCTGTCCACACATGTGCTTGGCAGACATCCTCAGCCCTGCTGTGGCCTCCTGCCTTTAGGCCACTCATGCCACTCATGCCATGAGCTCCTCTTCCCAACCACCACCCTTGCAAATCCCAGGGCCTCTTTTGGGAAACATAAGATCTCCATGGGTTCCCCTATACCCTGCAGAAGGCCTATTTTGTGTCCCTCAGACCCATGACCACAACCCTTCAGACAACTGTTTCTCCTGCTCTGAAATTATGTAGCCTCACCCTTGCTCCTGATCAAAGAACACCAGCCTCCACTCCTGGCTGCCCTGTAAATCTGCCAGAGTTCTCAACCTCCTGTAGCCCTTGTCCCTCCAGCCCTCAAGCCATCACTTAAGAGCTGGGGGGAGAGGACCCAATGTCACCTCATCTTGTCACATCCTTCTGTCTGGCTTTCCCTCTGCTACAAGTCCTGTCACTTCTGGGCTCTCCCTCCCTGTTGTCACTCACAACCTGAACTTTACCTTTGGTCCTCCAGGAATGGACTCTTGATATTTACAGACCATCTTTGGCATTAAAAAAATAAAAAATGGTCTCTTCTTTCTCAAGGGCTGGCCCTTGCAATAGAAAGCCTAGTGTCCAAGGCTGGTGTCTCTGCTATGCCTTTAAAAAATCCACTCAGAGATTCAATTGGCCTCTTTGTTCCAGTGTCGGCCCTTCCTCTGAGATCAGTGCATACAGAAGCTATCACTGCTGTGGTGGGGGAGGGTGATGGGTACAGATGTTGGGGGCAGGAGATGGGAAAGCAGTTACATATTGTCATAACTCGGGCACATGTGGGTGCCCCCTGTATATGCATGTGTCCTGGATGCACATGTGTGTCTGTGCACACCTCCTACATGTGTCCGTGCACCTCTGCATGGATTCACCTACACATATGTGCACTCTGATATATGCTTTCAGCTGTCTATGCTTCATGTGAATCTGTATGCACCATGTCCTCAGGCCTTGGCCATCAAACCAAGTTTTGGTGCAGTTAGGAAGCCCCTCCACAGGCCTGTCTTCACCCCTCTTCCAGGTCTCATATGGCAACCCTTTTGGTCTTGTTCAGCTATTTCCTTTTCTTGCCCTTGGCCCTGCCTAGGTAGCTCACCTACTCAGCTGAGAGAACTGGACATTCCTCTTTGTTGTGGTCTTGCTCTATTCAGGTCCTGATTTGACTTGAGAGTTGTGGATGCCAAGTGTGTGGACAGGGTAATCTCTCATACTGCTGCTGTGGGGAGGCAGACCCCTCCTTTGGCTCCCAGTGCCTTGGATTTAGTGTGTGTTGTGTGCTTAGTCAAGGTACCTCACCTGCAGCCCAACCAGGGCTGGGATCCTCTCCACAGCCTCCCTGGTGACAAAGAAGCCTAGGTTTGAGAGTAGCACAGTCCAGGGAAGCTCCCCGCTACACAGCTTACTCCCATTCTTTTCTGTTTGAAATGTCAGAAATATTCATCCTTCCGTCATGGCTTCTAGCAACATGGCCTGCAAGCCCTCCATCTGCCTTCCAGAGCCCCACACACCAGATCCCCAGGCTGCAGCTCTACCTTTATCTCTGTGGACATTTGTCCTCCCAGTGGCCCACCTGTAGCTTTATCCTGAGATTCCATATCAGTGTCTGTCCCTGGAACCATCAGGGCCTCCTCTGTCCATTTTTCTAACCACCTTTTTGTGTGCCTGTCTGCATCCTCTGCTGCCCCCACATCTCTTGTGTGGACTGTCTACTCACTTGTCCCATCCTACGAAGGGCGAGGAGACTATCCTGCAGTTCAGCTCAGGGACCTTGACACTGACCCGGCGACCCAAACCACAGCCAGAGCCCCTGAACTATCCAGTGCTGGAATGGGAGGACATCACCTTTGAGGACCTCATCGGGGAGGGGAACTTTGGCCAGGTCATCCGGGCCATGATAAAGAAGGATGGGCTCAAGATGAACGCAGCCATCAAGATGCTGAAAGGTCCCCTGACCCTGGTCCTCTCCTTTGTCCCATACATCCCAGCTCCCGCCCTCCCCCAGCTCTCTCCAACAATTGACCCCCACCCTCATCAGCCCATGCCCTTTCTCCAGAGTTATTTCTGGCAAAAGTGATATTGGATTCTCTACACAGAGTATGCCTCTGAAAATGACCATCGTGACTTTGCGGGAGAACTGGAAGTTCTGTGCAAATTGGGGCATCATCCCAATATCATCAACCTCTTGGGGGCCTGTGAGAATCGAGGTGAGCCCCCACTACCTCTCCTTCCAAATCCTTACCATCTGCCATCACCTCCACCACATTGGTAGCTTGCTGGGGGCTACAGGTGACTGGCATGTCCCTCTTGGTTTTCCATCATGTGTCAAGGTCCCTGTCTATTTCCCTTGGTCATCTGCTCTCAGCCCATGCTGCCTGTATCTAAATTGTCACCATGTATCTCCTCACCTCCCAGGTTACTTGTACATTGCTATTGAGTATGCCCCCTATGGGAACCTGCTGGATTTCCTGCGTAAGAGTCGGGTTCTGGAGACTGACCCAGCTTTTGCTCGAGAGCACGGCACAGCCTCCACCCTCAGCTCCCGGCAGCTGCTTCGTTTTGCCAGTGATGCTGCCAATGGCATGCAGTACCTGAGTGAGAAGCAGGTATGTGAGTGGGGAGGGTGGTGGAGGGGTGAGGGGAAGGCTTAGGTATTCTGAGTCATGGCTTGGTCTCTAGGGTGTGTTCCAGGTATAACACAAGTATGTCTGGAGCATACCTTGGCAGTGCCCAGGGAAGGTGAAGGGCTAGCTGGAAGGAGATTTTGTCTTGGAAAGTGTTTCGGGGGTAGGATTGGGGTAGGGATAGTTAGGATTGTGTTTGTGTAAGGGGAAGTTGAGGGGACTGAGGAATAGTGAGAAGGAAGGCCCTAGTTCCAATCCTAGTGAGATGGCAAGTGTGAGTGCAGTGAGAAGGGAACAAGGGCAAGAGGCAGGTCTGGAGGAGTGTGGAGTGAGCAGTTCCAGGTGCCAGCCCATTGCTCAGGGGAGAAGCCGAGGCTGGAGCAGAAGTCTGTGCACTGTCACCCTGCAGATGGTGCCTGATAGCCGGGGGCAGATGAGAGCCATCAGACAGGGGGATGGATGGAGGCCTGAACCTGGATCTGAAAACACTGTGCCTGAGGGCAAGGAGGAGGAAACAACTGCCTGGGGGAACACAAGGCATGTTAGGATAGTAAGGCTTTGGGTATCCTTGAAAGCAGAGGGATGGGCCAGTGACAAGGGAGGAATGATGGAGCAGGACTGAGAGGGCGGTAGAGGTTAGAAGAGAGGGGGTAGGGGGGATGGAAAGAGAAGGTGCCATGTGGCCACCATCACCTCAGGAAGAGGGATGCAACCTGAACTTGGCCATGGCCTCAGAAGGACGGCATGAGAGCCAGCACTGTGATTTCTCAGTTGGCTAATCTAGGATTGAGGCCCAGAGGAGTAGAACAAGAGGAGGGATACTACAGGCATCAGGGTGCCCATGAAGACCTGATGATGGGACCAGACCCCTGACTGGCCCCACTGTCCTGGGTTCCTCATACCCCAGTCTTCTCTGACTGCTGACCTTGCCTGCAGTTCATCCACAGGGACCTAGCTGCCCGAAATGTGCTGGTCGGAGAGAACCTGGCCTCCAAGATTGCAGACTTTGGCCTTTCTCGGGGGGAAGAGGTTTATGTGAAGAAGACAATGGTAAGTATCATTCAACCCTCCCCCTCAGGGCCTGTGCCTGGCCCTGCTGTCTGGAACCTCCAAACAGGCACTTCTACCACACCTGACCCCTCAAACCTATTCTCTGCCAGGGGCGTCTCCCCGTGCGCTGGATGGCCATTGAGTCTCTGAACTACAGCGTCTATACCACCAAGAGTGATGTGTGAGTATTAGGTGCAGAGGTGCAGGGGACGTGGCTTCCACAGGTCACACAGGCATAACCCAGACACATCTCAGACATGGCACAGGCATGGCTTTGTCTCTAGGGTGTGTTCCAGGTGTAACACCGATGTGTCTAGAGCATACCTTGGCAGTGCCCAGGGAAGGTGGAGGGCCAGCTGGAAGGAGGTTTTGTTTCTTGGGAAGTGTTTTGGGGGGCAGGATTAGGGTAGGGATAGTTCAGATTGTGTTTGTATAAGAGATAGAGGGGTGACTTGGAGAGGGCTAGGGACGCTTGTGGGTAATTCCTGATGTAGATGGAGAGACCACTATAGAAATGCTCCCACCTTCCTCTATAAAGGGAGGTCATGGCCCACCTGAGGATCTTACCAAGATAAGACCCCCAAGGCTCCTCACCATAGGGTGGCCACCTTGGCACACTCCACTTCCCTCTCCAGGAATGCCCACTTATGTCTAAACCTGCCAAACCTTTCAGCCCGAACTCTGAGCCACTCTACCCCTTGCCCCAAGCCCTTTGGCCTGGCCTGTCTAGCCCCCTGTCCACCACACTGACTACTCCTCCAACCATAACACGCCTACTTCCTACTTCTGCCCCTAAGACTCCCTAAATTCCCTGTACCCACCTGAACTCTCTCCCTGCTCAGGCCTGATGCTTACCTACCTGGGTTTGAATCCCTGCTCTGTCACTTACCAGCTAAGCTCTCAGTGTCTCAGTGTCTCCATCTGTAAAATGGGGATAATAATAGAGGCTATAGCACAGGGTTGGTGTGAGGGCCAAATGAACTGACATGTATATTAAAGGATCAGTGCCTGAACCTTACTGCTCAGAAAAATGTTGGCTATAATTATGCTGAGTGTGGGCATGGAGGACCGTGAAGGAGCTTCAGTAGAGCAGAGACAACAGCTGGCCAAGGCCAGATGCTTACTAAGTAGACACACACAGGGCAAGGAGGGACTACACATCTCAGGTAGGTGAAGACTAAACTTCTGGGCCTCTAGCCCAGAAGTAACTGAGGGCATCCTTCTCATTTCAGCTGGTCATTTGGGGTCCTTCTCTGGGAGATAGTGAGCCTTGGTGAGTCTTCAGCCCCCATTCCCAGAATGCCCCACCTTAACCCATATGGGCCCTGGACTGAGAGGAACTTGTCCCCTCCTGCAGGAGGCACACCCTACTGTGGTATGACCTGCGCTGAGCTCTATGAAAAACTGCCTCAGGGCTACCGCATGGAGCAGCCCCGAAACTGTGATGATGAAGTGTGAGTCACTCCAGCCCCAAGCACTGTGACCCCATCTCTGTAGCCAACGGCCTCAACTTTGATCTCTGTGGCCCAGTCTCCATGATGAGTGGTCTCAACTTCGAGCTCTGTGACCCAGTTGGCTCTGACCCCTCATTGCAGCAATGCCCCTGTCCACAGGTATGAGCTGATGCGTCAGTGCTGGCGGGACCGTCCCTATGAGCGACCCCCCTTTGCCCAGATCGCACTGCAGTTAGGCCGAATGCTAGAAGCCAGGAAGGTGAGGAGACTGGGGTGGGGGCAGAGGCTCCCCAGAGCACCCTCTCATAGGTGCCATCCTCACTACCTGTCCAGACTTTCTCAGCTAGGGCTATCACCACACTGGGCTAGACCCCGGGATGCAGCCTGCTTCTCCACCCTTTGCTGGGTTAAACACTAGGCCCTTCCAAAACTCTTCTAAGGATGCTGTTTATCCCTAGCAGAACACCCCTCCCAAGTGCCAGGTCCCAGCCTGCTTGCCCATGTGCCTCTCCTAAGGCCATCAGCCCATGCTCACCTGGGACACCTCTCACAGAATCAGTGGATGGATGACACAATAATTATATCAATAAATACACAATTCAATAACCAAAGCATGTGAATAAATGAATTATCAAATAAGTAGAAATGAAAAAAATCAAAATTAGTAAATATGAAAAAACTGCATATGAATTAATCAATGATTAAATAACTATCTTAAGGATGAAAGACTGATCAAATAACCGTATAAGTGAATCATCAGAAATAGCCTTTGACTAGATGAATAAGGAAATGAATGAATGAATGTATAAGCAAATAGTTCATTGGATAAGTTCATGAAAACCCTCCTCTAACAATAGAGTCAAGGGTCTCACATCTAAGACACCCAACTGTGTCTGGTGCCTGAACTGCCCTGGGCTGGTAAGGGCCACCCTTGGCTATGAGACCATCTTGAGTCTCTGGAACCAATCAGTGTCAGTTGAAATGCCCCACCTGCATTAAAGTCAAGGAGCTTTAAGCTAGATATGGCTTCACCCTTACCTCCCACTAAAGTTTGCTCTGTCCCCAGGCCTATGTGAACATGTCGCTGTTTGAGAACTTCACTTATGCTGGCATTGATGCCACAGCAGAAGAGGCCTGAGCCACCTTCCACCCAGAACCTGTCTCTGCTGGCCAGAGCACTCTGCTATCCACCCTACAAACTCTAACCCTTACAGCCCCTGACCTAAGCTGCCTCACAGACTTTTTTTCAACTTAAGGGAGATAAGAGGGGATCCAGGGATAGGGTGGGTTTCAGGAAATTGGTTCCCATGCTTTGCAGTTGCTCCCCTGCCCCTCTGCAGAGGCCCTTGTAGCTATCCCAGCCACACTTCCTTGTAGTTCAGCCACTCTACAGATGTGTTCCCCATCCCACTGCTCCCCACACACAAGCCCCTGCTCCTGCCCCTCCATCCAAGCCAGCACACACCACTAGCATGCCCTGCCCAGCTACTCCCCACTCCCTGCCTTGCATTCAGAAAAAAATAAATGCTCTGAAAAGCTCCATCCAGTGTCTGTCTTTTCCTACTAATTAATCTTGGGAAGGGTGGTTGGGGGCTGGAAATTCAGCCCAAGAGAGAGAAACTGGTCTTTCCAGGAAAAGAAAACACTGTCCCTAGTTATGCTTTCTGTGGCCCAAGCCCTCTGTTGAGATCCCTCTCCAGAATGGGAGATGTTCTGAAAGACCCATTTTATATATGCACCACTAGCCCTCACCTCTGTCCTAATCTAAAGTCCAGTTTCTCCTGGTTCCACCCTGCTCTCCAGCCTCCATCACCATCGTGTCTCCCAGAATCTCTAGGTAGCTGGAGCCTCAGTGTCTTTGCTCTGTGTGAGCAGTCCACAGCAGGACTAGCTGCAGCCTAGCCATAGCTCAGACTGGAACCTCAGTCCCAGACAGAATCTGGCCTGTCTTGAGCTCCTTCTGACCCTTGTCCTTATGCCTCCAGGCAGCCTTCTTTGACCCAGTAGCCACCTTACTGTGCAGTTTGTGAGCCCAGAGGAAGAGGGCCGAGCCATTCCCATCTGCAGCCAGCCGTGCTGGGTCGCCCTATTCAGGGTGTCATAGTGGGCTAGAAAGGGCTCCTGTCCTGAGAGTGAGTCCCACACTGCCCCATGCTGTAATGGCCTCCGGGCTTGCCTAGACTTTGGGTTGCTCCTGGCCATAGATTCCTCTACCATTGGTTCTTTAGAAATAAGACTGGTTAGGTCTCACACACTTTTTCAGTGAAATCAGATGAAATCAAAGAAGATATACCACTGTGTGGCTAGAACACAAATTTGGGATCACACAGACATGTGTCCAAGTCTCTGCTATACCACTGTGTGGCTTGGTCGAGGCACTTAACCTCTCTGAGCTTCAGTTTTCTCCTCTGAAAGATGGGGTTAGTAATAACTACCTCACTGTTGGTGCCAAATGAGATTGCACAGGCTTATCTTTCACTGCACTGGGCCTAGGCCACAGTAAGTGTTCCGTAAATGTCATTATACACAAATGCAGGAAGGGGAAGGGAAATTATCAGTCTGTGTTCTAAAAAGACTTGAATGATTGGAGTGTAGGATGAACTTATTTATTTTTCCTTTAGCTTACGTTCTTTTAATTGATTAGACATGCAAAGAGAATAACCACACAACAGTTTTCTGTAAACATTTACAGATAATGTATGCATGAGACATCTTTCAGTTAATATGTTAGAACAGCTTTTTTTTTCCCCCTGAGTAGAGTGCTCCAGCGTCACAGCTCACAGCAACCTCAAACTCTTGAGCTTAAGCGATTCTCTTGCCTCAGTCTCCCAAGTAGCTAGGACCACAGGCGCCTGCCACAATGCCCAACTACTTTTTGTTGCAGTTGTCATGGTTGTTTAGCAGGCCTGGGCCAGGTTTGAACCCACCAGCCTTGGTGTATGTGGCTGGCACCATAACCACTGTGCTACAGGAGCCAAGCCTAGAACAAATTTTTTATCTTAAATTTTATAGCTCTAGTTTCATGACTTCGGAAAATATAATTTTTAAACAAAATCAGCATGTAAGCTACTTAAAACTCAGTTTTCTGTTTTATAATAAGCCTAAATTATTATAGTCATTTGGTACTTGTTTTTCTCTTCTAGTTAATAGTGACATGACACTATATTTAGTCTTTCTTTCCAGTTCATTATATAGATCTTACTGTGTGTTTAGGGAGTGTAGAATGCTACATTTAATTTTAACAGGAGAGCATACTATGCACAAAGTTATAGAATGAAATCCAAAGTTTTTGTCCATAGGCTGTTGTCCTGTGTCCTGGGCAGACTTGATGTTAAATTATGTTTTTCAGAAAGGTTTGAACATAAAGGGAAGTTCCCAAAAGTAATGATAAGGCAATAGAGTAACAGAATTCCTTTTGAACCCTTTTGATAGTAAGCTCTTCTGGCATGAATTTATAGCCCTCTTCTACCCTTCTAGACAAAGGTCTAATGTGGTCCAAATGTTATATGTGGAATTTGTCTAGAGGGTAAGGAGTCCAACAAGAAAGGAAAGGCTGAATCACTTTTACACTGCTCTCAGTGTGATAACAGTGGTAACTATTGAAATGTCTTCTTGGCTCAAGCGCCTGTGGCTCAAGTGGCTAAGGCGCCAGCCACATACACCCAAGATGGTGGGTTCGAATCCAGCCTGGGCCCACCAAAACAACAATGACGGCTGCAATCAAAAATAGCCGGGCGTTGTAGTGGGTGCCTGTGGTCCCAGCAACTTGGGAAGCTGAGGCAAAAGACTCACTTGAGCCCAGGAGTTGGAGGTTGCTGTGAGTTGTGATGCCACAGCACTCTACCCAGGGGGATAGCTTGAGGCTCTGTCTCAAAAAAAAAAAAAGAAATGTCTTCTCAAAATTTTAAACACCTTATTTGTTGCTTCAAAAACTAAGATTTATAGTTTCAGTTAGACTTCAACCAAAGAAATATCAAACAAATATGCAGTGTAATTTGTGTAGCATAGATTCATCCCATGCATTTTCTTTTACAGCGTATTTTCATTTCTCTTTGACAATTAAACCTTATAGCCATTCTTGGGGAATCCTAGCATACTAGTACAGTAGAACCTCCATAGCTGACTATCTCCTATGTGACTTAATTTTCATAGACCAGACATGCACCACATATGCTTATCAGTACAGTAGGCCGAGTTATTTATATTGACCACATCCATATGTTCACCAGCTTGTTATGGTTCCTTGGATGGTCAACTTACAGAGGTTCTACTGTATTTTAGATGTCATAATAATCTTTATGTGAAATACTACTAATATTGGTTTGTGTTTGGGGGGGTTGTGGTTTTTTTTTTTTTTTGAGACAGAGTCTCACTATGTGACCCTTAGTGGCACTCTACTGAGGACGACAAAGTAAGCCTCTGTCTCAGGAGGCTGAGGCAGGAGAATTGCTTGAGTCCAAGAATCTGAGGTTGCAGTGAGCTATGATGATGCCACTGCACTCCAGCCTGCGCAACAAAGGAAGACTCTACCTCAAAACAAGAAAAGTAATCCAGCAACATATAAAAAGGATTACATACCACAGTCAAGTGGGATTTATCCCAAGAATATACAGTTGATTTAACATATGAAAACCAATTTAATGCCTATCAATAAAATAAAAAACAAAACTACAATATCCTCTTGATAAATGAAAGAAGACATTTTACAAAATCTGACACTGTTTCATGAATTCAGAAAAACTAAAAACAGTCTGATAAAGGGTGTTTACCAAAAAGCCACAGCTAATATCACACTGAATTAATGGTGAAAGACTGAATGTTGGGCGGCACCTGTGGCTCAAAGGAGTAGGGAACCATATGCCAGAGGTGGCAGGATCAAACCCAGCCTCCGCCAAAAACTGCAAAAAAAGGAAAAAAAAAAAAGACTGAATTCTTTCCCCCTAAAATAAGGAGCCAGACAAGGATGTCTGCTCTCCCTGGGTAGAGTGCTATGGTGGCATTATAGCTCACAGCAACCTCAAACTCTTGGGCTTGAGCAATCTTCCTTGCCTCAGCCTCCCAAGTAGCCAAGACTACAGACATGCACGACTACGGCCAGCTAGTTTTTATCTTTTTTTTTTTTTTTGGTCGTAGCCATCATTGTTGTTTGGCGGGCCCAGGATGGATTCAAACCCTCCACCTTAGGTGTATGTGGCTGGCGCCTTAGCCACTTGAGCCACAGGCGATGAGCCTAGTTTTTCTATTTTTAGCAGAGATGGGGTCTCACTCTTGCTTGAACTTCTGAAGTCAAGCAATCCACCTGCCTCCACCTCCCAGAGTACTAGGATTACAGGCATGAGCCACCACGCCCAGCCCTGCTTTTCCCATTTGTATCCAACGTTGTACTGGAGATTTTAACCAGAGAAGTTGAGCAAGGAAAATAAATTAGCAGACTAGAAAGAAGTAAAATTATCTTTATTTGCAGATAACATGATAGTGTACATAGAAAATCCTAAGGATTTTACTAAAAAACTATTGGAACTAATAAATGAGTTCAGAATAGTTGCAGGATATGAGATCAATTTACAAAAAATAATTTTCTGGCTGAGAGCCTGTAGCACAATAGTTACAGCACTGGCCACGTGCACCAAGGCTGGCGGGTTCGAACCCGGCCTAGGCCAGCTAAACAACAACGACAACTACAACAAAAAAAATAGCTGGGAGTTGTGGTTAGTGCCTGTAGTCCCAGCTACTCAGGAGGCTGTGGCAAGAGAATCAGTTAAGCCTAAGAGTTTTTTATTTTTTTATTTTTTAATATTTTATTTATTTATTTATTTATTTTTTGAGATAGAGTCTTACTCAATTGCGCTGGGATTGAGTGCCATGGCATCATAGCTCATAGCAACCTCAAACCCTTAGGCTCAAGTAATTTTCTTGCCTCAGCCTGCTGGGTAGCTGGGACTACAGGTGCCTGTCACAACTCCTGGCTATTTTTTTTTTTTTTTAGAGACAAGAGTCTCACATTATTGCCCTCAGTAGAGTGCTGTGACATCATAGCTCACAGCAACCTCCAACTCCTGGGCTTAGGCAATTCTCTTGCCTCAGCCTCCTGAGTAGCTGGGACTACAGGCACCCGCCACAACACCCATAAGCCCAAGAGTTTGAGGTTGCTGTGAGCTGTGACGTCATAGCACTCTACTGAGGGTAACATAGTGAGATTCTGTCTCAAAAAATAAATAAATAAATAAATAAATTTCTTTTATACACTTACAATGAAAAATCTGAAAATGAAAATAATAATAAAACAATTTCATTTATAACAGTGTTAAAAATAATAAAATAGGAATAAATTTAACAGTGTAAAACTTATACTCTGAAAATTATAAAAAATTATTAAAAGAAGTTAAAGAAGATCTAAATGAATGGAAAAACTTCTCCTGCTCATGAACTGGAAGACTTAGTGTTAGTTAGATTATAATACATCCCAAATTGATCTATATATTTAATGCAATCCTCATCAGAATTATAACCAGCTTCTTTGTAGCCATTGACAAACTGATTTTT